AAAAAGGTACCGTTTACTTTTTGAGTTATAAGGCTGCCCTTGTCACAGCTGAACGTATGAAAAAGTAGGCGTCTGCGTCAATATAAAGCCAAATGAGTTTTCAAAGATGTTTCTGAACTACCATGCCTTTGCGGCTTTCTCTTCGGGCCATGGTGGTCAGAGATAATGTATGTAAGACAGAAATACAAATGGTTAAAAGGCTGCTATTATCCATAGTCGGTATCCTCTTGAAACAGAGCTATTGATTCAATGAATAAGAGTGTCAAATGATGAACAATAACTACTCATTCATTACCGTTATATTCTTAATTGTATAACGAAACATTCATGTCGATAAAATCCGCGCACTAGTTCAGTTAGATGAAACTTTGATGTTTTCTTCTTTCTATACATACTATAGAGACACAGATATAAAGCAAAAAATGGAGAAAAGAACAAATTTTATCGTTTTACCCAAAAGAAAGATTCTCTTCACTATGAAATTAGTGTTTAGTCTAGCAACTTTCGAGATTAAAACGTTAACAAATTTGACAGTACCCTTTTATCTATGACACCGACAGCTCTATTTCTTAAAAACTAAAAGAAACCTGTTTCTGAAAAATACATCAATGTTCCCAGTTATAGGTCTCTTAAAGTTTCATTTATTCAAATCAGCCGTAAATATAATCACTTATAACAGACTAATCTATTTGAAAAATATTTTGTCTGGCTTTTGCATGATAACATAATCTAGTTACACTGGTCTTTTGGGTCGCTCATTTTCTTCTAAATTTACAAATTAAACATAGTGTACATATTCTATATATAATATTTTGTAATTTGTATATCTTACATCATCTGTATACATTATTATCTATTTAGCCATAAATAATTCTCAGAGGAAAATAATCATTTTTTTTTATTCTCTTCGCCAATACAATTCTTAATTCAAATTCTTTTTTCGTACATTCGTCATTTCTTCTGTAATCCTCCTATCAAAAGTAACAACTCAAGTGCAGATACTGATTTTTTAACATAATAAAGGTGTACGATTTATACTGTTAATTTCATGTTTAAGGTATTACCACATGAATTGCTTACACGATCAAAACTTAATTGATTCAACTGCAGTGTCAATCATATATCATCATCGGGTCGCCGACGTATTGTATGTCACTAGTTTATCAGAATGTGTCAAATTAGACTACGTAGCGGTTGTTAAAGGATAGAAACTAGCACTTATATCTCACAAAACTAACGAGATGAACTCTCAGAAATTCACAGATCCCAGGTGTATGAAAAAAGATATGAACTTTCGAAGATGAGTTACACGGTTTTTCGTTCCTAGGGAAAATCCTAGTCTTTTAGTCTATGGGTGTTGTATATCTCTTTTAATTAAAATGCATTTACATTTCATAAACATGGTCACAGTACTCTTTTTTTCTCTTTATCTATTTAACAATGCTTGTTCTATATTGGAAAACAACTGACACTCTATAATACACGTGTTTCTGTGTGTAATTAAAAGTTAGAAAGTAAAAAAATAATTACAAATGGCAGAAAACTCAGAAGGGAGATATTTTCTAACTTTTAATTACACACAAAAGCACGTGTATTATAGAGTGTCAGTTGTTTTCCAATATAGAACAAGCATTGTTAAATAGATAAAGAGAAAAAAGAGTACTGTGACCATGTTTATGAAATGTAAATGCATTTTAATTAAAAGAGATATACAACACGCAAAGATTAGAATTTTTCATAGAAATGGAAAACCGTGTGATTCAGAAACGGAAAGAGCTAGAAATTTGAAACCTTTCGTATATTATCTAAGCATGTAAGTCTACTACAGAAAACACTTTCAGTCTTCTATTCCATTCCCAGACAGAGTTATAAATTTTTTAATTATTTTCCCTAGAGAAAAAATAGACAAATCTCTATAACTATTGAAGGAAGAGCGATGGGCACGAACCATTTTAGGGTTGTAACCATCTCGACATGTTCTATAAATGAGTGGAAACTGAGTCCGGCATCTCAGGATGTTTCCTCGTCAGGAAACGTCATTTGACGGAGGCTTTTGGGTACCTTTATAACTTGTCGCGCTTGATCGCCTTGGTTTATATGCGCGTTAAGATCGCGCTCAGGCGTCTTCCAAACTAGTTATATAAAAGCGCTTTCAGATGTGCTTAGGCGGATTTCTCGTGATCGAAATACAAAGCACGTCTGCATGCGTTTGAAACCTCGTTTTTCATCTCGAATAAAAAATCAGACAAGTCTACGCGCGTTTTGAGAAAATGATCAAAATTTGTTCGAAATTGGATGCGTACAAGGGCCCCAAATATTAGAAAATTGGAAACATCTTGATCGTGAGATAAGTGTCCGATCGCGTTTTCTTTTCTTTCTTGAAAAAAGAATCGTGTGAATGCATCTAGCGATAAGATTTTTGGTTTACATTGCTTTGACACGCGCGTAGACACGTTTAGTTTCTAGAGAAAGCTCGTTCGTTCGATATACAAAACCGCACCTGGATGGATTCTTCTTTAATCAATATTAACAGTTTACATCTAGACGAATCTGAGCCCGAACGCACCTAGTAAGAAAAGCTCAGAATCCGAATCCTAATAGCTATTTTGATAACCTAGAACTGTTTCTCTTTTCTAATCTTCCTCAAAATCACGGCAATCTTATTCTAACTGAAGATTATAATGCAGATCCGACTGATAAAAGCGTGTGCTTTTTCTGACGCTTTCTCTCTTTCGATAACTCAACCAAGTGCCACCACATCTCTCGGTTCGTGTTGATGATATATGATTGACACTGCAGTTGAATCAATTAAGTTTTGATCATGTAAGCAATTCATGTGGTAATACCTTAAACATGAAATTAACAGTATAAATCGTACACCTTTATTATGTTAAAAAATCAGTATCTGCACTTGAGTTGTTACTTTTGATAGGAGAATTTCAGAAGAAATGACGAATGTATTTCAGATTCGAATAAATTCATATATCCTTGATAGCAGTTTTAGGCTATGATGATGTATATTTTTATATCGAGTTAACGATGTAAACTTTATTTTAATCCACCAAAATGACAGCTTATTGCACACATTGAAGTGGACACGGTAGTTTTCATGGACATAGAATAATCGACTGAGTATATAAAAATATAAAATTTGTTCTTTTCTCGTTTTCATATTTTCTATGTCATCTCTATATGCGCGAAGAAAGATAGCTTTCTTTGAAGTTGGAAGGTGAACTGAGTTGTGTGTAGTGGGAAGTGTGAACTCTCAACACAGAGATCCTCGAGTAAAAATCACGGTTACTTTAGTGAGATCTGTTTGGCGTACAATGTAATCGACTATTCCTAATATCTGTAACCTCAAATCACTTTTCTTTAGAAAAGAATGGCCAAACTTTCACATATTGTTTCTTTCCTTTTCATTTCACAGTATCCACAATAACTTCTGCTAACAAGTTATTTCTTTTGAATACCGAATAGTTGACAATTGCTAATAATAAAAAATTGTACATAATATAACTACTAGTAACCATAAAACTGATAGTTTATTATTTATACTATTTAGTCTTTCAGCTCAGTGATCTCGGTACAGTTTTAGTAGTAACTGAAGATGTAATTGTTAGAGTGTGGGAGTTTTTTTGTTCTTGCCGTCTATAATTTTCTAAGAAACTTTCTTTCAGAGAAACGGCAATAAAAGCAATCGTACCTGTTCACGTCTGACTCATATCCTTTTTTCCTTGATAGAAAATTGTATATCATCAAAAAAAGCAAAATTGTATTTTTCCTTCGAAATACTTTTAAAGTAAATAGTTAGGATAAATTGTCGAGTACCCCATGGTATTGTACCAAGTTTATGTTGAAATAACATGTTTTCAGTTCCATTCTGAAAGCCTTTGAAAAAATGAAAAAAGATGTATGAGAGGTGGCTATTTTGCCTAGATATGCAGTTCTTACCTAGGATTACTTGTTTACCAGCTCTTACTGCTGAACTACTAAAAAATACTATTCTAGCATGAGTATTACCACTGAACAAACTCGAAAAATTATATTCAGCTTTTCCCGAATCAATCAAAACAGTATAATTGTCCAGTGATACCGATTGCACTATAGATGAACGATTTAAAACGGATAAATTAGCTATTCCAAAATAACAATTCGATGGTGAACGATAATGTCGAAATGCCATGATAACATCACCTTCCATTATCCACGGTGATGGTAATTTCGTTTGACAACCAAGGTTTGCACCATTTGCGATTAAATTTTCTTCTCGAATTTTGGCAAATGTGCCGTTTGGCAGTCGTGCATTGTCAAGCGATGCAGCTGCGTAAAGCTGTGGTTCGATCATCAAAGCTCCGTAAAGATCAGCATTTGTAAAATCAGCTCCTTTTGTCCAGGCTAGTGTAAAATCAGCATGTCTCAATTGTGCACTTTTAAAACTAACCTGAGTTAGTGTTGTATTACGAAAATCAGCTCGTTCTAATGAACAACGGCTGAAACGTGTTCCTAACAGAAACGAGTTGATGAATTTAATATTGTTCATTGTTGAATCAGCAAATCGTGAATTCTGTAGATGACAATTAATATACCCCGCATGATTCAAATCAACACCAGGCAAAGATAAATTATTAAAATTTTTTAATTTTGTTACATAAATATAGTTTAAATCGGCTCCGGCTAAATTTAATATCGAACGACTGTGTTTCTTCGTTTTATCGTACTGGAGCAATTGACTTTCATAAAGAAAGAACAGCAAGTGTTTTTTTCGTTCTGGATCAAGTTTTCGTAATGATGAAAGAGTTTTGGTACGAATATATAATAGAGCTTTATTATCCGTCGTAACTTCTTTTGTTAACAGTAATTTTGATATATCATCAACATAACTCGTAAATATTCGTTCTTTTTGGAGAGTGTCAGCCTGCTGTTGTTCTTCTTGTCTTTGTCGATCAACTGCAGATTGTTGTTGTAGAGTAATGACAACAGTAAGTACACCAATCATCAATGGGACAAGAGCTGATATTAACAAATTCAACCAGTCAAAACAGCCTCTTTTATATTTTTGTTTTCTTTCGCGCTGTTGGTCTCGAGGTTCGGAATATTTTTTCTTTCGTGTAAACATAAGTTCTATAGTTCTGAGAAGCAAAGTAGTTGAACATATGATGTCTTAAAACACTAACCGCCACCTCCGCTACTTTTTTTATTCTAATATATCCGACTTTTTTCTATCAAAATAATGTTTGTCCAAGTTTGTGCGAGAAAACTAGAGTAAAACGAATAAGATTGTCATCAAAAGTCAAGAGTTTTGAAAGATACTCTTTCGTTAGATATGTCAAACAGCTTTCGCCAGAATTGCATTCAGGATTATAAAAAGTCTATGGCACTTATACTGGATAACAGACCTTGCGATGCGTCTATCAGCTAGCTGCGAAAAGTGAATGACTGAAGAACCCGTGAACTGGTCCGGCACATCTTTCCGTCCAATTTTTTGCAAGTAAAACAGATGCCTATCAAGTAATTTAATAAATATAAGTACTAGGTAAGTACTTCATCAAGCATTTGGCAGATAACTTGGTAAGTACTTGCGAAATATATGCCAATATCCGAAGTTCTTTCAAGGACTTGGCACTTATTAAATCTAAAAATGCTTGACAAGTGCTTAACCAAGTACTTTAGAAAATTTGCAAGCAACTAAGTACTTGATCTCAAGTAGAATCACTATGGTAGCTAAGGGATGGACCGTTACTCCGGTAACGGTTTGAATGTACTTAACATAGTGGGCAATTTTGACTTGGTACCTGGACATGTGCTAGAAAAGTAGCATGAAAGCCTCGTTTAATAGTTTTCGTATGCGCTCTTTTCAACGGCGTGGTTTTCTAACTTTCAGAGTATGTTCGCACAAGTTTTCCAAAGACCAGATTTCTGAAAAACCTGTACAGGTACACTTTGAAAGTTGGAAAACCATGCCGTTGAAAAGAGCAGATACAAAAACCTATAAAAGAATTGGTTTCCAACTTTCAACGTGTATCTGTACAGATTTTTCAGAAATCTGGCCTTTGGAAAACTTGTACGAACATACTTTAGAAGTTTGAAAATCACGCTGTTGAAAAGAGCGCATACGAAAACCTATTAAAAGAGGCTTTCGTGCTACTTTTCTAGCACATGTTCATGTGCCAAGAGAAAATTGCAAACTCTCTCAAATACAGCCAAACCGTTACCGTTACAAGTAACGGCCGTTACTCGTTACTGCAACGGTAACGTTTGAATCGTTACCTTTACTAGTACTACCGTCACAGTAACGGTCCACCCCTTATGGTAGCTTTGACCTCAAAGTCCACACAGTAGTTTTAATTTTGACACGTCGTTACGTCTTATAAATGCTTCCAACTCTCACTTGTCAGATAAACTATTTTTACGTTTTTGAACTTCTCCAACATTTTTATGATTATTTGTGGGAAAATTTGCACTTTAAAGTATTCTAACTTCTTACCGCATGTCTTTCTTAATGCAATACGTGTGATTAAAACTTAGTCGCAAAATACATTTTTATTTTGAGATCTTTGAATACAGGAAGAAATCGTTAGATCTAGAGCATAATGGCAAATTTTTTGAAGAGTATAATGATCGAAGAAAATGTCTGCTTTTTCGTTTTCTTTTTCACAGAATGTGAAACAAATGTCAGTCTCTGTTTGGCCACTAAAGACCTAATATTTATTTGATACGACCAAAGTACGGAGATTTAAATCTTGCCGCTGCTACACTAACTGAAACTGCAGCGTATTTAAGATATAATCTTAATCATAGAACTTATTTGCCGTTTAATAACAAATACATTGACGAAAGATGTTGTCCAAATACTAGTTTAAAACTGCAAAAAGGCGTGAAGAAATTATCTTCACTTCACATGACGTTAAAAAAGTAAGATGTTTTAAGAATATATGAGAGTCATCAAAGTCGTAATATTTGACGAGTATTCGAATAAATCGTGTTATTCTTTCTATTTGCCATATGTGAAGACGTTTCTTCAGTGCGTTAAAGAAAAAAGAACCAAAAGGGAAAAAGTAAACAGAACTGGGAGTTTTTTATGCTTTTTTCTTCTCTTCTTTAATATTTATTGACAAAAAAAAAAGGAATAATAAAAGATGTTAGATGACTTGTGTCAAAGGAGTACATCAGAAAGCAGAAGGGCTTATAACTACATCAAAAAAGTTGTGGTAGACATACACCTGATAGATAGTAATATACATGCAACTTTACATGTATATTACTTCTTACTACTAGTTAAATACAACTTTAAATTGGTTTTAAAAGATTTCACATTAGGTGCTGCAGTAACATACGAAGATAAATTATTCCAATCAGAAGAAGTACAGTAGAAAAATGAATACTATACATTAGTTAGAGTGGTAAACGGTACAACGGCACGCAAAGGATTTAGATTTGCATTAAGTCTCTCAGACCTCCTAATATTGATAGGTGGTTGGGTAATGAGCTCATCGCGGTTTAAAGTGCATAAACGATGGAAAATACGATGGTAGTTGACTAGACGAAAATAGAGACTGCGATTAGTCAAATTAGGAAGGCGTATATCGTTAACAAGTTTGACACTATCTATGGTATAATCGAACTGTCGAGTAATCAGTCCAGTTTAGCCAAAACGCAAGTTTTGTAAAGGTGAAAACGAAGAAAAGCCGGAGCTTCAGCAAATGTTCTGTTTATGGCACCTAACATACGACGACAATCTAAAGTGGTTATTTTAAAGTGAGATTTCCAGCTTAGATCGTGTGAAAAATACAAACCCAGAAGTTTGGGCGTATTTTCATATTTGAGAGATTCTTCATTGATGCTACAACTGAGAGAAGTAGAGGGGTTAGTGGACAAAGAGAAATATGTCCAGTGACACTTGTCAGGACTTAAAGACATAAAATTGCAGTCACACCAGTTAGTAAGGGAAGCCGTCAAAAGTCGCATTGGTGAATTTATTCACCGGTAATTTGATTAGAAACAAAACTGAGAAGAGTATTATTCAATATGCCTAAGAAAAAGAATATGGAACTATCGTATAACAGAATGACGATGTATGTATATATTCTTTTCTGTACTATACTTGACTTGATGTTTTTTTTCTTTCTATGC